AATCAGCAGACCCTGCATGGTTTTATCTCCACGTCGCTTGCCAAACCTCGGCCTACGCCGTCGGCGTCGCAGGTTGGGCCACCGGTATCAAGCTCGGCAGCGATTCACCCGGTATCACTCACAATCCTCATCGGAACATCGGTATCGCCCTATTCTGCCTCGGTACTCTTCAGGTCTTTGCTTTGCTTCTGAGGCCAAACAAGGATCACAAATACAGATTGTATTGGAACATCTACCATCATTCTGTTGGATACACCGTCATCATCCTCAGCATCATCAACATCTTCGAAGGATTCGACATCCTTAATCCCGATGACCACTGGGAGAGAATTTACATCGGAATTCTCATATTCTTGGGCATTGTTGCCACTTTGTTGGAAGCATTCACCTGGTACGTTGTTCTCATGAGGAAGAAGAAAGGGTCTGATAAGCACTCTCACAGCATCAATGGAGCCAATGGGGTGAGGGGACAGGAGGTGTAACAATTTTGTAGGTGTTACATAAACTATTAGCAATATAAGGGTATATATTTGTTGTCAGTCTATTACACCATGTGTTTTGGATGACGACCACATTCACATTTGTTATTGTTCTTATTTTTGTTGTCATAGTTATGGTGTACTCTGAGCTGTACTCTTTAGCTTTATTTTTATGTATTTATGTTTTCCAATTGTTTCCCTTCCATTAATAGTTTACTGTCGCTCCTTCGATTCTAGCTCTGTTACACTTGTTGATCCATGGAAGCATATAAAATAATTGCATGAGCTTCTTAATTTTGAAAAGCTAATTTAATTATTCAATAAAATTTATACGAATCAAGCAATTTTAATGATCAATGAATAATTATTATTCATAAAGTCTCTAGATTTGAGTATAATATTTACATATATATTTTAACGTTTATTATTAAATAATTAAAATTTTAAAATAATACTAAAAAGTCAATAATTGAGAAAGAATAAAATTTCAAAAAATAAAAAGTCAATGGAAAGGAAGAATGAAGAGTTTACCAAACCTCTTCAATGCCTAAAAGTCTATAACAAGACGAGATTTATCTTCGAAGTTTGAGACTAAGCGTGGATGTAACAAGCGATATCAGCATTTTAAAAAAAAATTGTTTGTTTGATATATTTATCATATCAAATTCTTAAATGTCATATAATTAGTTTTGTGAAAAATCAATATAGAAAGAAAAAAAGGACATCATACAAATATTTTAATATTGTTCTTACAACGAATGGTTATTGATAATGAGCGACTATTGATCGACATCAACAAATGATGGAGTTGATTGTTTTCTAAAAGAAATAAAATGACGTAAACTAAAATTCAATATATAAAAATGAGCACGAACCAAATGACTTTCGTGGTAAAGGAATTGTTGTTATTGTTCTTGAGGATCTAAGTTTGAGCATTATGGATGCAGGGGTATGAGTTCAATATAAAAATTATATATATATATATATATATATATTAAATTTTAATGAGAAATAATATATAAATTAAAGTCTACGAGAAGCAAATAACCACATCTTTAATAATTTAACGATCCAATATTTGTATTACCATCAAAATCAAAATTCAATAAAAAAATGTATACAAGCTCTAAAGTTTAATAACATTTGTAATAATTTACTCAAGAAAATATTTTTATGAAGTAGAGGACGCCTTAAATTCTTAAAATAATTAATTTTCTTTTAGGAAATTGAATTGGATTGGCATAAACTCAGGGAGAGGCCGAAATAGGACAAAATCAGTGGGTTGAAGGCCCAAGGGCTTCTGTTGCAAGAGAGAGTAGTTATCCATCCACCAAGAAAGCTCAAAAACTCTCCACCACAAAGCAGGAATCCATAGCTAGTTTCTCTTGAAAATTCAGTTGATATTCATTCAGCCATTGCCAATAGCTCAAAGGCCGATGTTCATACTCCATACTTAATGGCTACTCTCCGCTTTCTTCTCTCTTCCTCTCCTTTCCTTTCTAAACCCACTTCTCTCCCTCTCCCAAATTCATCCCTTTCCCTTCATTTTCCTCTTAAACCTCTCGTTTTCTTCCCCAAACGCTGCCAACTCAAACGCATACGCGGCTCGGCAGTAGCCACCGATTCAGCCCAACCAGAAGTTGAGCTCCAAAACGACCCCCTGCAGGAAACCCAGAAGCAAGAACAAACTCCCACACTTGTTCTTCCAACTAACGACTCATCTGATGAGCTCCTTAGAATTAGACACACGGTGATCATTTCTTTATCAAATTTTCTTTTCTGGGGTTTTCTTTATTTGTTCCATAAGGACATTTTTGGTTCCGTTTCATTTCAGTGCGCACATGTAATGGCAATGGCTGTTCAAAAGCTATACCCAGAAGCAAAAGTGACAATTGGACCCTGGATAGACAATGGGTTCTACTACGATTTCGATATGGAGCCTTTGACCGACAAAGATCTCAAGAGGATTAAAATGGAAATGGTAAGTAAGTTATTTGAATAACAGGACGGGGGAGAGTTTTTGAGAGAGCTTTGGGGAAAATGTTCGTCATTTTGGCCTATGGTTTTCAGGGGTTCAGAGAAATTCATTTGTTACATCGAAATCTATAGGATCGGATTATCAAACGAAATTTACCACTTGTTAGAGAAGAAGTTTCAAGAGATGAAGCTCAGAGAAGGATAATGGCTATAAATGAACCTTACAAGATGGAGATTTTGGATGGTATTAAGGAGGATCCCATCACTATCTACCATATTGGTAAGCCACGTTTCCTCTTGGAGCTTTAAATTCTCTTGTATTGAGTTTATAATGTGAAAGATTTTGTATGTAACAGTAATGTATTTATTCTAGGTTAGTCCATTGAACTTAATCCATGCTTCCTTCTTGGATATGCTTATTATATGTGTGTAAATTTTTTGAACTTAACGAGTGTAGCGTGGTTAATCTTTATACAAAAAATCAGTAATATTTTTTCCTGTTTTTTTTTTTATAATTTCGTTGATTAATTCTGATTCCAGGGAATGAATGGTGGGATCTTTGTGCGGGACCTCATGTTGAAACTACGGGAAGGATAAACAACAAAGCTTTTGAGCTTGAGTCCGTTGCAGGTGCTTACTGGAGAGGGGATGAAAAGAACCCTATGCTACAGAGGATTTATGGAACTGCATGGGAAATGAAGAACAACTCGAAGCATACCTTCACTTCAAAGAAGAAGCTAAGCGCCGGGATCACAGAAGTATTGGCCAAGATCTTGATTTGTTTTCTATACAGGTAGCTCTTCTCTGCCAAATGGTGGTCCTGCTTTTGTGGTAGTTGCTAACATTAAATTTGTTGTTCTTCATTTGTGATTCCTGATATTTGATATGTTCACTATGGGAAATGTATGTAATACAGGAGGAGGCTGGTGGAGGTTTAGTCTTCTGGCACCCGAAGGGTGCCATTGTTAGGCATATTATAGAAGATTCGTGGAGGAAGACACACATAGAGCATGGTTACGATTTGCTATTTACTCCACATGTGGCAAAGGAAGATCTTTGGAAAATCAGTGGCCATCTGGACTTCTATAAAGAAAATATGTATGATCAGATGGAGGTTGAGGACGAACTTTATCAACTTCGACCAATGAATTGCACTTACCACATATTGGTATACAAAAGGAAGCTTCACTCTTATCGAGATTTTCCCATAAGATTTGCTGAGCTCGGGACTGTTTATAGATACGAGTTGTCTGGTAGCTTACATGGCCTCTTCCGTGTAAGAGGTTTTACCCAGGTAAACTCTACAACTCGTGGATCCTAGGCAAACATTTTAAAATATATCTTATTTTCTGTCCATGCTTTGTTGTTTGAATTGTAACTGCATTTGCAGGACGATGCACACATTTTTTGTTTGGAAGATCAAATAAAGGATGAAATCAGAGGGGTCTTAGACCTGACTGAAGAGATACTACTGCAGTTTGGTTTCAGCAAGTATGAGGTGAACCTGTCAACTAGGCCGGAAAAGGCTGTGGGAGATGATGATATTTGGGAGAAGGCAACCGTAGCACTTAAAGATGCTTTGGATGATAAAGGCTGGAGCTATCAGATTGATGAAGGTGGTGGCGCTTTCTATGGTCCGAAAATTGATCTTAAGATTGAGGATGCTCTTGGAAGAAAGTGGCAGTGCTCAACCATCCAGGCAAGTTTGGACTCATCCCTCTTCTCCGCCTTTCTTCTGGACTCTCCTCCCATATTCTGCACCTTTTCTTTCCATCCCTTTCATGTGAATCTTAGCTCAAATGTACATTTGTAATTGGTAATTTGTTTTCTCACTTGACAGGTTGATTTTAACTTGCCGAACCGATTCGACATTACTTATGTTGACTCAAACACAGAAAAGAGACGTCCGATCATGATCCACAGGGCTGTGCTTGGATCCTTGGAGCGATTTTTCGGAGTCCTTATAGAGCATTATGCTGGTGACTTTCCTTTGTGGCTTGCTCCAATACAAGCTCGGGTTTTACCAGTGACTAATGCACAGGTATACTCAGCTTTGGGTTTCATCAGCTCTTTAACGAGTTTGTACCTGTTTATTGATCGACTGCATACCGAATCTTCTCAAAAACATTGCCTTTGTATAGTTTTCTAAAAAAGAAAAAAATATCGTCTTTTTTGCAGCTTGGATTCTGTAGTGAGGTGATTGGAAAACTCAAAGCCAATGGCATCCGAGCTGAAGTTTGCCATGGTGAACGTTTACCGAAGCTTATCAGAAATGCTGAGAAGCAGAAAATCCCCCTAATGGCAGTCTTGGGGCCAAAGGAAGTCGAAACTCAATGTGTCACCGTTAGATCTAGATATGGCGGAGAGCTTGGTACCATGAAGATTGATGAATTTATCAGTAGCATCCAGCAAGCCATTAAAAACAGAACTTCATTGTAAAGTTGTTATAGCAGGTATAGATAGCTCAGGCTTATTTATTTCATTGTAAAGATTGATGAATTTGTTTACCATGTATATTATGAACTTCGTTCCAGGTTTTATCCGTATTTGGCCCTTTGTTTTCATTTTCTGTTTTTCTGGGAAGGAAACATCGTCGACTTGAAGGTAAGAGATTTTCTGATCTTCTGTATATTATGAACTTATTGAAGCTTTTAATAAAATTCACAAATTCAGATTTAGGTATGGATAACTAGTGGTGGTATTGATAGTTTATATGAGGTATATTGGTTTTAACTTAAGTATTAAAACTTTTAGAAGGCTCAATAATTTGTACGAGTATCAACACTCCATACCTAATATTGATATAATTTCGAGAATTTTGATGTTGAAAATATATGTTTGATATCGATACTTTGATCCGAGTATTGATATCCGAGTATTTAGAACATATATTACTTTGTAATTACCTTACCTTAATAAAAAAAAAGTTTCAGAAAAACGTAAGACAAAACATAATCATGTTTAGCTACTAGTTTAATTGTTCAAATCATTATTTCATTCATGTTCTGATAACATGTCGTATATTGTGCAATTTCTTAAATCATATACTGACAAATCACAAATGCTTTAAACGTACCAATAGTACTTCAATTAGTTCATTTTAATGTGTAAAAAAACATTAACTTATCATATATCGATGTACAACAAGAATTCTTGTTCATTGTGTTTTTACCATATCGTGTATGTATTTACCCATTTTGGCACTTACGAGTGCTTTCACATGCTTAATAGCTTTTAACATACTTGATCACACATCATCAATTCTCAACATTATATGATCATATAATGCAAATCTCCTACACCTCTTTTCTTTTCTTTTTCCCAGCAAAACTAACATATAATGAGACATGGTTTAAGAAGTTTGTAATTACCAAGTATTTAAAAAAAAGATTTCCCTTTATGTTGGTCAATTTCCACTTAAATGAAGTAAAATGATGGATTAAAATGTAAGGTGATCCGCTACTGTGTATTACTTGACCCTATAGTTAAGTACACAGGAGATCTAATAATAGAAGGGAAAGATGAGCTCAACTGCCATTGAAGATCCAAAATTATAAATAATTGCTTTCCTTTGAACTGGATATAAATGCCAAAATTCATTCAAAAGACTTCAAAAGACAGCAAAAACAAATCGCTATACAAATGAATATCGCAGTCCTAACGTTCTTGTTCTTCTTTTACTTCATTCCTTGTACTTGAATCTACAGCTCTTGATGTCGTTGCCAACTTCGGCGCAAAGGCGGACGGAAGGACGGACATGAAAGCAGTAAGCAGAATATATGTATCAAGTATGAAAAAGCTTTTCTGTAGAAATTCAGGTTCATTTCTTTTGCCCTTTTACATACAGGCTTTGCTGAATGCTTGGAAACAAGCGTGTGCGTCGGCAACGCCGGCCGCCATCGTGGTTCCGAAAGGGGCGTACATGTTAAGCCAAGCATTGTTGAATGGTCCTTGCGAGGCTCACATCACGCTTAAAGTTCATGGTATCATAATGGCTCCAGCTGATCCTAAAGCATTCAAGGATTCAAATTGGGTTGCCATCTCCTTTGTCGATGGCCTAACGATAACCGGCGGCGGAGTTTTTGACGGAAAAGGATCCGGTGTTTGGGGGAAAAGCAGTTGCGGCAAGAACTATTGCGACACACTTCCCTTTGTAAGCCAGGTTTCATGGTACATTTGTTAAGTTTTAACCTCTTGATATGGTGCTAATCAATCTTGCCCCCCCCCCCCCCCATGAACAGAATTTGAAATTCCATGCTCTTAAAAACACAATGATACAAGATGTAACATCTCAAGACAGCAAACAGTTCCACGTTAATGTTCTCCATTGCCAAAACATTACCTTCGAACGTTTCGCCGTCTCTGCACCCGGAAATAGCATAAACACTAATGGAATTCACATCGGACGGTCGAATTTGGTCAACGTCCTTAACTCCATTATTCAAACCGGCCTCGACTGTGTTTCATTAGGTGATGGCAGCAAAAATGTGCACATCAAGGAATAGAGCTGCGGACCAGGTCACGGCATCAGCATCGGAAGCCTAGGAAAATATCAAAATTAACAACCTGTACACGGAGTTTACGTTAAGAAATGCACCATCTCTAATGCCAAGAATGGTGTTCGGATCAAAACTTGGCCAGCCTCGTATCCAGGCACCACGTCGGAGATCCACTTCAAGGATATTAAAATGGAAGACGTCGAAAATCCCATCATCGTGGATCAAGAATATTGTCCATCCAAACAGTTCTCCACATGCGATTATTATCCTGGTTCCACGGATCTGAAAGATTGCTATACGCTGATTTCACATTGAACTCATGTGTAGCTGTCCAACGCCAACGTGGTTTATCACTACCCAGGTTCGATCGAGGGGGGCACACTGCGGCAATGCGAAGGCACACCGGCTCAGGGACCATGGTATGCAATCTATTCCAGTCCCAATCACCCGGACTCGTTACCAATGAGCTCACGGTCAGCGGTGGAGGATTCGTACCAGACAGATTGTGAGCTGCTAGGGGTCCCTATTCATCGAGCCATGTGTCGTACCAAAAGTCTGTTTGTTGGCCGTCTCAGACAGTCCAAAACACACTCCGCTTTATATCATTCCAAATACAAACCAACCCTCTCCACAATCTAGAGCATCCTGACCGACTAATGTTAGCTGGAACTACATCCGACCACCTGTATTTTCTTGTAAGAACACGGACCCACAATTTGTTGTTGTCTTCAACAAGTTGCATTCCAACCTTCATAAGGAAGGCTTTATTTTGATTGCCGAGACCTTTGATACCGAACCCTCCTTGTTCAATCGGGAGTTTAACAGCATCCCATCGCACCAGCGCAATACTATTAGAATCCCCATGGTTATTCCAAACAAACCTTCGGATAAATTTTTCCAAGGCATCACATATTTCTCTTGGGAGCCAAGTCAACTGCATTGCATAGTTTGGAATTGCCTGTAAGACTGCTTTTGCGAGAGTTATATGTTGAATATATGAACTGCAAAACTATACAGTTAGCACTGACTGGAAATATAAACAGTAATTAAAAGGAACAGATTTGTAAACCGTGTCGTGGTATAACCACTGTCTTAGAAACGAATTCGCCCCGATGTGTGTAATCGCTGCAATAGGTGGACCGTCCCCCGAGGTTAACACGGTCACTCCGAATTCCGTACACCCGAAATCAGAGTGGACTGCTGGTGGTATTGCTCTTCTTATCGGAAAGCACACAGAGAGAATATTTAGAAAACACTTGGAGAGTGAATTCTGAATGTTAAGAGTGAGTTGAGAAGCTGAATATAACTCTCTATTTATAGGCTAGAAATAGGGTTAAAATCGTCTATAAAATTACAGGATTAAATATCTTCTTTGTAACAGCTGAAACGTCTAGATGAACCTGACTCAGAAATAGTCTAAGTTCAATGCATAATTATTCAGCTGTTATAACTCCCGAAATTATATCATGTAACCCCTGGAATTAAATCAAATAACTCCTGTAACTCCTGATATTAACAGCTTGTCCCCTTTGTACAAAGCTGGAAATTAGTCCAGATACATCTTAACGTTTTTGATTTAATTTAGGAAAAGTTGTTTAATTTCTGATAACTCTCATAAACCAGCTGTTATCATTTAAATTTAAACAGTCCTCAGCAGCCTATAAATATCAGTTGAAATCTTTCACATTTTTCCATTTGTTTCTTTCAAAGAGAAATTCCTCTAAAAAGATAGTATCCGCGCGAACGTGTCGAAGACACGTATTACCACGACCACGAGCCGTGCCGAGTCGAGACGAACGGCAGCGGCGGTGGTGCACGAGAGTCCCTCTTGTTCTCTTTCACTCAACAAGGAAGTGGGAAATCCAAACCATAAATACCCATTCCCAATAGTATTTCCAATACTATGTGAGATTGAGCATTACCAACATTCTCCCACTAATGCGAAAGAATTCTTCTGAAACTCGAAAACAAACTTTCCAGAAGAGCAATAGCGAGATTAGTTGCTTAAGCACTAGTGAACGTATCTGGAACTAGTACATAGTGATGATGAGCAATCCTTCTCTTAGATAAGTGAAACTAGTCTAGAACTTTCTAATATGGGGGTAAACTCATGACACACAACTAACCATTCATCCACCTGAGTCCTCGATGTGTAAGATATATATATACAAAAGTATATATTTGGTCATCTTACCTCAGGATTCTAGTAAGTGTGTTAGAAAAATAGCCCAACATTTTTCATAGAAGGCGATTGACCCTTCTCACTTACATAGGTTATTTCATCAAGTTTATCTCGATATAAACCACCCTTAACATGGATATGAAATAATTAAGAGCTTTTATAAAAGCTCAACCTCACAAAGGGTATGGTGACTTTCTTCAAGTTCATTATAAATGAACCACCCAAACTCTGGGCTAAGAAGTCATTAAGAATAAATATTCAACCTCATTTATCGGTAAATTCAATAAGTCATTCTCACTAGAACCATCCAAATACTTGGATTTGAATTTATTAAGAGCTTAACAAACTCAACCTTTCTGTTGGTAAGTTCATCATTTCCTACCCACTCACTATGGGTTATAAACTTATTAAGAATAGATATTCAGCCAAAATCGGTAAATTCATCAAGTCTTTCTCACTAAGACCACCCAAAGCCTGGGTTATGAATTTATTAAGAGCAATTAAGCTCATCATGGGCATGCACATTATTCATCATAGGAATAGGCAGTAGGAATGTGCACTATGAGTCTTTCCATGGTTTCGTTTGACCTCATGTAACTTAATAACTAAGTTGGGTATCCACCATGAATTCCTCAACCAATGGGCTTTAGACCTATCCCCATCGACGAATCTAGGACCAGCTTCCAACTTAACCCTTTGGTAAGTGGATCTGCTAGGTTCCCTTCTGACTTCACATACTCTAAAGAGAGCACTCCATTCTCTATTAAGTGTCTAACAGATTCATGTCTTATGCGAATGTGTCTTTTCTTACCATTGTAAGCTTGGTTCTTAGCCACACATATCGCAGCTTGTGAATCACACAATAATGAACCGGAGGAGTCGGTCTTCCCCCACAACAGAATATCTGCTAACAAGCTTCTGAGCCACTCGGCTTCTTGCCCAGCTAGGTCAAGAGCTATAAACTCTGACTCCATTGTAGAACCAGCAATACAAGTCTGTTTTGATGATTTCCACGAGATTGATGCTCCACCCAAAGTAAAAACATACCCGCTCGTAGAGCTTACCTCATTATTATCAGAAACCCAGTTGGCATCACAATATCCTTCCAGTACCGCAGGAAAGCCAACGAACTCAAGTTTCCAATCCAAAGTACCCTTAAGATACTTCAGTAAGCGTTTAAGAGCAATCCAGTGTTCACCACTCAGATTATGAGTATATCTACTCAGTCTACTCACATCATAAGCAATATCAGGCTGAGTATAGTTCATTAAGAACATTAAGCTTCCAATTAATTTAGCATATTCAGTTTGCGAAACACTACTTCCTTTATTCTTAACTAGATATATGCTAGGGTCATAAGGAGTTCGAATAGGGACGACATCAAAACTGTTAAATTTCTTTAGCACTTTCTCTATATATTGTGCTTGACATAAAGAAAGTCCCTTCTCAGTTTTGGTAACTTTGACTCTTAAGATTACATCTACTTCTCCCAAATCTGTCATCTCAAACTTAGTGGACAAGAAATTTTTAACTTTGTTAATGGACTCAATGTTAGAACTGAAAATCAACATGTTATCAACATAAAGACTTATGATAACATATTCAGTGTCAAACATCTTCGAATACACACAAGCATCCGAACCATTCATAACAAAATCAAAACTAAGAATAGTTTTATGAAATTTCTCATACCACTGTTTAGGAGCATGCTTAAGTCCATAGAGTGACTTTTTGAGTCTACAGACTTTGCCTTCCATACTAGGTGCTTCAAAACCTAGTGGTTGTTCCATGAAATCTCCTCATCTAGATCTTCATTCAAGAAAGCAGTCTTAACATCCATTTGATGTACCTGCAACTTATGAATAGAGGCTACTGCAAATAATGCACGAATCGTTTTGTAACGGGAGAGTATGTATCAAAGTACTCTAAACCAAATCTTTGAGTGAACCCTTTGACGAATAACCTTGCCTTGTACCACTGAATCGAACCATATGGCCTTAGTTTATTCCGGAAGACCCATTTGTTAGAGATTGGTTTGAATTCCTTAGGCAAGTCAACTAATTCCCAAGTATGATTAGACATTATCGATTCTAATTCATCATTAACAGCAATTTTCCAAAAACTAGCATCTATATATATCTTATAGCTTCTTCAAAAGTTTTAGGATCCTCATCTAACAGAAAAATTTGAGCTATAGGATCTGAAATGGAGTCTAAATCATTTATCTCAGAAATAAAGGAAGTAATAAAGTCTAGTCCAAAAGATGTTTCAACTCTTTGCCTTTTACTTTTTCTAGGCTCAAAATCAATTTGTTCAGAAGACCTAGCAGGATTACTAGAAGAAGTTGATGAAATATATTTTATTTGTGTTTCAATATTTATTCTCGGTTCCTTTAAAGGAAAAGTATTTTCAAAGAAAACAACATCCCTTGACTCACAAATAGAATAATCTTGTAAAAGCATGAATATGTATGCAACACAATTCGTAGCATACCCTATAAACACTGCATCAACGGTTTTAGGTCCGATGGT